GTGACATTGTTAGGAACGAACATCCTCTGAAGAAGCTTTGTGTACTGAGGAATAGTAAACAATTGCTTCAACATAATATTGTTGACTCAATAGTCCATTGATTTTTCTAAACGGTGGAACTCGTAAATAATATAGTCAACTAAATGAAAAGTTAAACAGATACCCACAAACAATAATAGTGTAATGGTTAACGTTGATTGGATGAATTATTCAGTACACAGTAAACCGGAGAACCATTTACCTACTTATATTCGATAATTTTGATGTTTGATTATATTTCCTTGAAAGAGCTTGGACCAGATTGCCAAGCGAAACGTCGGATTTACTTCAAATTTATTCGTTAAGATTTTACAAATACATTCTTTCTCTCACGTCAACTCAGCACCCAAATACTGTGAAACTATTCGATCGAATTTAAACGAAAGTTCTTATTTAATAGTGCAATGGTATGTTGTGATTTGAGTGAAACATTGATTAGAAAACCTCTGGATTCTGACCTACTGACTGACTACCACTGCTCATTGTAAGATCTAAAGGTTTTGGATACTCACTAAAGTGCTAAATTAATCCAGTACTTCAATTCTCAAAGCTTCTCTAGGCGATATCAACCCATACTGTGAACGGTCGTCCAAACTATGAGGAAAACCCTGCGCGAATCTACCAACAAATTTTAACATATATCGGTAATCCTTTTTGTCAGTTAATTTCTAATGACTTAGATACTCCAACTATCAAGTAATGCAGTTTCACACTCATATGTTTTATATATTATTAATAATGAAGAATATTTCATATTGTTCCCTTGTACCTGGTTGATACGATTTCTCGGTAGTGGACTAAGTCCAGCTAATTGACTATTGAAAATCACTTTACAAGATACTGATTTTCAAGAACTGGGAAGTTTTGTATTTCTGTAATGATTCACTACTACTACGGCTTCATAATTTCTTAAAGATGAAAGTTTTAGCAAAGCTTTTGGGCGTATTGCTAAAATCAAATTTAATGGAGTGTAGGAGGAGTTGCAAAAATATTTTTTCTTTCTCATATAGAATAAATAACAAAACAAGCGTCAGTGTTTTGATTGGAAGGATTTTAAATGAAAGTTATGACTCAATTCTTCCTCCAAATATTTTTTTGGTGTTTCCTTTATTTTCAACATTGATTTGTCACCAACTAATTATGCTATAATATGAAGTACTTTTAGTGTAACGGAAATCTTAAATTTATTGATTTACTACAGTTGAAGCCCTGGTGAATTCAACTTATTCCTTTTGATTTATGAAAGTCATCTTCCGGTTAGCTAATTATTCGTATAGTGTTTAATTTGACTAAGTTAGATTTCTCACTGCTATCAGCTTTATCGTTCTGACTTCTTTGCTTTCAGTCTCGTTTATTATCATCTGGGATGATGTAAAGTAGGACAATGTGAACCGATTTAAATTGTTACTATGTTCTTAGCCCGGTTTTTGTGCCTAAATGAATACAGTTTGTTGTAATGTGTTTTATCGAAAAATCTTCTTCAGTAAACAGTAATATCATATTGAGTCAGTAAATCCAAACTCTTCTTTCACAGACATGCCGTTATACTACTTAGTAGTCCAAAGCATTCAAGTATGGTTTTTTAGGATACCAATCTCTCTCTAACTATTGACCTAAAGATCTAAGAAACAAAAAATCGTCAAAGTCGTGTTATTATGGTAGACAATGACTAAAATAGATTCACACGACTTTTGCCCGTTTGGAATCCCGGTATTCACATGCTCCAACAGTTGACAGTTCGAGTATTCCAACTTACCTTGTTCAAACCTATATTTATCAACTTTGGACAGTAGACATTGGCTTTGACCTTCTCACTTTTGTGAAACACCTCTGTTAAGGATGTAAATAGGACTCATCTGGTCATGACTTTAAATATATGATCATATTAAAGGATTTTGAGAGGAAAAGCTGCCTCTTTCTACGCTGAAAACTATCCTTCTTAGTAGTTGGAATACGAAAAACTGACAAAGTGATAAGTAAATATTAGAAATTAGTCGTATTAGCTTCTTCTACATATTTTTCTCTCTTTCAGCTTTTCTTAGTGTTTCTTTACTCACTTAGTAAAAGGTTTTATTGAAATTTATCATATGACGTTAATGGCTGTCTACAAATATAGGATGTTACATTTAAAGATATGATAATTGAATTTTTCACTTCACGCATCGATCAACTAGAATAATTCCATTACACTATAATAAAACAAAAGGTTAAGTATATAATTTATTTGTATACTGCTTTTTTTAAAATATGATCTATTTTTTGTTCATAACCTTATTATAACGTACTTACAATTAGTATAAATCGTTTAGAAAATACCTATTGTTAAAGTCATCGAAGTGATATATGTATATACGAATTAGTTAAGAAGATTGACCTCAGTCAATAGACGACTCAAAGTCGTTTGAAATAACCCACATACCTTTCAGTCTCTTACCGTAAACAGTTTGCTACTTGTCAGTTATTTTCACCTGCTTAACATATACTTCTTTCTGTTCATAGAATGCATCAATTTTTTCCTGTTAAAGTGACAACTTTTATTTTTAAATTCACTTGGTATTGTTTACTTGAATCTTCCGATTGATGTTTAGAACTGCAATTGATTAGTCTCTTATTGGCATATGTGCATACTGTGCCTATTACCTCGATATTGCATTAATTCACAAGCATTATAAGCAAAGATAGATAGTGGCTAGCAGTGGAATCCAAGACTAGCGTTTCGTCCCATTGTACAAGCAAATGGCTATCAGGACTCAGTATCTAAGTGAATAACGCGATGGCGTTTGAAGCGAACGGTACAGGGTTTCGAGTCCCAGAGTGAACATCAACTCTGAGATGCAGGTACATCCAGCTGACTAGTCTCAAATAAGACGATATGCGTGTCCTGGATTCCACTGCTAGCCACCATCCATCTTTGTTTATTTTTGTTCGATATTGAATAAAGAAAATTTAGAAAAAAAGAATTTGGTGAAGGATAAATTATGTAACTGTTGCTCTGTTTGTAGATAAATGAATAGATGAACAATTTAAAATATATCTCAAATTTCGGTTTAATTAACTATTTTTCTCTACATATAAGTAAATTTCCTTTCTGCTGAATAAAATATAAAATACGACACATGAACTTATTACCATGATGGAAAATTGACATTTATTTAGTACTGTATGATATTACTGTATTTCTATACAATTAGTCATTTTTATTTTGTAGCCAAACAATTGTTAATTACGTAGAATTAATTTTAATTTTTCTTTCAAAGAAAAGACAATTATCATTCTTCTAGTAATCATAAATATCAATGGTGTATGAAATTATTCAATAAATAATCACCTGTCAATCAAACTATGTTGTGTATGTTGGAAAATTGCACATCTTTGCTTAAACATACATCTGTGGGTGTATATATATAAATATATGGGCTACCTGTTCCTGCCATCTGGAAATTTCAACAAGTTATCTGTTTTTTATTTGTTTTATCACACCATCATTTCTATCAATCGCATAACGTATTCAGGTGTGTTTATGAAAAGTTTACGACCTTTCGCTATGCAAGTTACAAAAAATCCCGGTCAGAGATATCGTGGTTGCTGGCAATATGTGTCGAAAAGAATTTACATCATTCAAATGTCGATTCCTAAACTTCTAACTGGCAACCACCCAATATTTATCGTCAGGAGTGTCAAACAATTATTTATTCTGATGTATAACGTTTGCATCGATCATTATCTATCCTGTCAAGACATTCTTATCTGTCCACACTTGCACCTATATAAGAAAAAAATTAAAGGGAAGCTTTGTACATTCGAATCAGGTCATAGCCGTGTTGTCAGGTGTGGATTACCAGGTTGAATTCTGCGCGATCATCATAACCAGTGGTTTGATACGTCGGGCAACATAATTGAGAATCGGTCTTAACAGTGCACATGTACCCACTCTTCCCTTAGTTTTTGAGTTCCGAAATTATTTTTTACTTTATTATTCCATGAATTCGTGCTTTTTTTTCAAATAATTTTGGCTGTCTAATCTTTTCTACTACCACTGATACTATTAAAAATGCGACTACTCCTGGCATTTGACTCGCTAATTTCATCTTGTTCTTGTGATATGGTGTGGCTAATTGGGCCGACGCATCAGGTTCTACATTGCTCATGCCTGTTATCGATTGCTGAATTCAACCGCTTTGGGAGATACCGACTTGGTAGTTGAGGTGTATGCAATAATCGTTATCAATCTCTACAAGGGTTGAGTGAAATCTGAGAATATATTATATGATTGTTGATTGTTATCTCATTGTATCCTATTTCCAAACTATAGAGAAATCAGACTTTGATATGTACCATTCAATTCATTTATTTACTGCAGAGTAATTATTTTACAAATCAGGGCTTCCTCTTTAATACTGCTAATTATTGAACACCCAAATGAATGCACTATTTTGCTTGGTGGATATACTACATAGGTATTATGATTGATATTATAATTATTATCCATATCACAATATTGATCATTGACTAACTATGTATTCACTGATTCATACTCAAAGCATGTTTATTATATTCACTTAGTTTTACCAAACTACTATTGCTGATCGAATAAAGTTTCACATAGTGGAATTTAATTTCATGTGTGCTTTATAAATCGATATATAGTATGGATACATCTTTACCATGCATCTGTTTTCTATAAGTTTTGATCACATTATCCTTTGTTTATTGATTTCCTTTTTTTGTACACTTATACCTTGTTTCTCCTTGCCTGTGTAGTTGTATTTTTTGTATAACAGTTTCTTTTAATAATCTCTTTTTCAATCTGCCTGGCGTACCTATTTGTAATAAACGTCCTTCTAAAAGATGCTTGTGGGAATTAAAAAAAGATTCTAATATTTTTTTCATTATCAATTTTGTTTTTGTACTTTCTATCATCCAAACTTTTCCTTTTCTTGCCTTTTTATACTCTTTTCTAGGATCAGAAAGGACAATTATACCAGATTGGAATTAATAGAGATGGATTAATCATTCATCAAGAATTTGTTGAATCTTTATCAACACGTTTCAGTTGGTTAGTTTAACTTTGAATAATAATATTTATTATTATTATTGTTATTATGAGTAATATTTTCGATTGTGTGTAATAGAATTGTGGTGCAGAGCTATTAGTATTTGTCGACAGACAATTCTCAACCAAATAAAGCATTGTGTTCAGCTTTGTTTTATACTTGTACAGGTGAATTCAATAAAAAATAGACAGTATCAAGATATAATCTAGTAACGATTTTAAAGGGTATGTACTGACATAGGCTATGTATGTCAACAAACTTATCTATGCGATAATTTCTGTGATCTCCGAACACAAGTCATCATTCTTTTGTGTCGTATTTCCCTTTTTGAAGTCTAGTTCTTATGTTCAAATTTTCATTTTTCTTAAATGTTATTTCTCAACCAACCTATGCTTCTTATCTGGTTGATTTTCCGTTATTGTGTTGGTGTACATTCAAGCTGCAGCCAACATTGATAATTAAGTCAAATTCGAACAGAATGACATAAGTAATTGAAATGACATCTGAGTTTTCCCTTATTTTCATCTATAAACTTGAACATAGATAGCATGTTGTATTTGTCACCTTTTTGCTTCCGTTATCGTTGATTGATTGATTTATTTATTTAAACACATAAATATTGGTACATGGAGTACCAGATACATATACGCCACACAATAATAATGAGAATGTAAAGAGACAAAGTATGTAAGGTGCGTATAAGAAAAAGTTGAACAATAACGAGCAGAAATTAGTGTGTGATAGTAAAATAATAATTATCAGAGAAGCTGTTCAGCTAGCAAAGATACAACCGGAAAGAATTCTTCCAGTTAAAGAAGTTATGTCTACTTTTTATAAAGAAGTAGAATAAAGTTACAGCAAGATCGCCACTAGCTTCTATTCTGAGCCATATCTGATAATGTCTCTAGCCACTGTGTTGCATCATCTCTAGGACCCCAACCATGGAGTGGTGAAGGATCAACAGAAGCCAATCCTGTACAGCTTTCTTTCATACCATGAAACCGTGTCATACACAGACCATCTCTTTGCTTTTTCTAACCAGTTCCAGCGTCGACAAATAATGCACGACGTGGAATTCTCCTGGACGACATCCACCACTCACGCCACCACCAGCACTTATGCATCCACCCAGAGGGTGAAAATATGAACAATACATCCTCGACCGGAACGAAAGCCAACCTACTTCTCGCGAGTCACTCTTTCTCGGGTTTTGAACAATCTACGAAGTACGACGGAAGCCAGTAGTTTGGATGCAATCGGAAGTAGACTTATCCCCCGATAGTTGTTACAGGAACGACGTGAACCCTTTTTAAAGATAGGGACAACTATCAACTGATTCCGTGACGTTGGTACGCTCTCTAGCTCCCAGACCTTTGTAAACAATGCAGTCAGTTCCTTAGCCAGAAATTCACCACCATCTTTAAAAAGGGCCATAGGTAAGTCATCTGGGACCGGTGATTTGTAGCGCTTCAAGAGTTGGAGTTCCTTGCGGACTTCCTCCTCATTTGGTGGATCAGTCGTCACCAGATATGGAGGGCAGGACAGTCTGACCGATGTTGCCGGAGCAGCAGGCCAGTTGAACTGCCCTTCGAAAAATTCTGCCGAACGTCCAAGACGTCGATGGATGTTAGTGATTGGCATCCCATCATCCTCGCAGATTGTTTCGCTCACACCAGACTTCTTGCTGCCAGTGGCTCGGATGCGTTGAAAGAGTTCTGGCGGTTACCAGATGCAGCTTCCACTTCAAACTCATTGGTACGCTCCGACCACCATGCTTCTCGGTCCTGATGCAAGCTTTTCCCAATTTCATTACGTATATATATATATATATATATATATATATCCGCTCCCTTGTTTTCCCTTATGATAGCTCCGCTCTGTAATCGCGTGATTACTAGCAGCTTGAAACAAACGATTTTTATATCATGTATATGCCTGTTTGTCTAGTAGAAAATGAGAATTTATTCATTTTATAGCTAATTGATCTTTTTATATTTATGGTAATATCTGACTTCAAACAATCCATGATATTGCACAGCCTTTCATCCATTGCCAGTTGTGGATAGCCATCTCACACCACACACGATCGAACTGTACTGATCATGGCTTCTCACTAGAACTAGATGCTTGTTATACTCTCACATACCATTGTTTGGATATTGTCACTGTGACTTGTTTGCATTCATACGCAAAATAATTGTGTTATGCACTTTTGATGTCCTTTGAATAACAACATTTCCAGTTATATATACGTTTGTACAATTACATAGCAATGCTATTAATTTTGTTAAACGTGACCTTATTATGACGTTCTTACTACAATGTTGTTAAAAGGACCTTTGATAAATTGCGATCTAACTGCCAAATGATGTGATTATCTTTATTATTATTGGTGTTTTTGTAAAATGTGATGATTTCGGACACTGATTCATCATTTATAATTTAGTATGGATTCATGGTTGATGTGTGTTATCGAATTTATTTCGGATTTTGGCTTTTTAATTCGGCTGTTACTTGTTAAACTGACCTGGCTAATTAATATACAGATATTAATTATGAACACCGATATTGGTTATTGTTCGAAAACCCCAGTACACCCTACAATACCTATGTACTACGTCATTTTTATCCTCAGTGGTCCTGGCACCATGATTGCACCATACGTACTTAAAGATAATCAACAAACATCTATAGTTTGTTTTACTTCAGTTCTGTGCTGCTTACCCATCATGACTTGATAGAAGTCTTTTGAATAACTTTGAAAAAGTAAATTAATCAATTTAATGTTATTTTCCTCTATCCCGTGACAAAATATTGAAATTGAACATAAGATATCTATTCACTGATTTTTACTTTGCCAGTAAAAGTGGAAATTGGAATCGAAATCGTATAAATTTGATTAATAACTTTAACGATAATTCGACTATCAGTTGCTTGTATTCAATTGCATGTTGTCGAAACCATGAGTTTGTGTGTGTATGTATTGCTAACACCTCTGTTTGATATGTATGTGTAAAAACCCCTATTCATTGAAGAATGATTCAACGTTCTCTTTAAGAGTAATTTCTCGTCTTATTACCAAGATAGATTATTTCCTTAAAAACTGCAAAACTACGTTATATTTCTTATTCAATACTTCTTTTGTATTGTTATTCATATCCGTATGTACATCTACGTACATTCACATATATATTTTGTGCAATGGGATTTCTATCCACTGTGTTGTTTAACATATAAACAAATGCTTTTTTTAAGTGATGTTGTAATTGGAAAAACAATAATTGATTCAACCTAGCCAATTATACATTTCTTATTGTGGAATTTGTTTTTTCCAACTGTCTAGTTGAATTGATCACATTAAACAATTTCTCTAAAAAAGTTCTTATTTTATACACTTCCTCCGTGTTATAACTTACGAAAACACGAACAATAATCGTCACACAAGAGATAGAGAATTTATTTATTTCATGAACTGTCTTTTACAACTACTCACAGTCTGTAATTAATAATATTAATTGCCAGTATAGGGTTGTGGAGATTATTGAGTTTCATTGAAATCAACCGATCAATGTTAGAACGCCATTGGAAACCTGGAAGCACTGGATAACCGTTTCATTGTAGTGTGAGACTCCTCAGCATTCTTCATCCACGATCCCGCGTGTGTGAATCGAACCCTGCACCTTAGGTCTTGCCGGCGAACCCTTAACTTCTAAACCACTGAACTGGCATTCAACGTTGTTGATTTCTCACTGCAATCAATCCATGATGTATTGCGCGACCATCCTTCATTGTCGTTGGTAGTAAACTGCCTCACACTCTCGACTCGAGTTAGACACCATCGATCATACCTTCTCACTAAAATTCCGGAAATTCCCTCTTGAAACTAGTCACTGGTATCAACTAAATGTCCTGGTACAGCTGAGAGTGGGGAAAGTCAGCCCTTCCTCTCGAAATGCCCTCACATGGCCACATGCATACAACCACTGCCAGGGAAGTTCCACTAAGTGCCTTCTCGTGGCGGAGGTGTTGTTTACGAGATTCAGACGACTAAAAGCGGATGTCTGGCTCACTAACCGAGTTGGTGGATACGGAGGATCCACTTAGAGGAGTTGGAAAACACTGATTCCAAACCAATGTTGAACGTGGGCTCCAGGATACTGAGGGGACAAATGGAGTGTAAACCATTTATTGGTGACCGACTACCATGGGACTGCATCTCCTGACGCTGCCCCACTGCTTTGTGGGTTAGACCTTTAGATCAAAGGCTTGGGGTGTGGCCCCCTAAGAAAACCACCTGCTTCGGTTTGGGTACCCGGGCAGTATCCCAGCCCTCACACAAATCAAATAAGATTTGTGTTGCGCATATGTATTTGGTGCCCTCTTGTACCAATATTTATGTGTTTAAATAAATAAAAGACAAATCCACATACTTTCTTTTAATACTTTGATTCGACATCCAGATATGTAGATTAATAAAAGACAAGAATTGTAACAGTATTAATATATTGTGCATACATGTGTTTATTTACAAATTGACGCAGTGATTAATATATATATATATATATATATATATATATATATATATATATATATATTCCAGAACGAAAAACCTAGGAGACAGCATGGAACCTGGATTCTTGAAATGAAAGATTTATGTCATAGTTGGATGTACATGTAATACTGTCAGAAAAAAATGAGCCATATACATCTCGAATGAAAATAAAAGAATGTAGATTTGACTGTTTTGTTTTCTTTATCGTTCTTCCAATCATTCATACTTTACTATGAAAATTCTAACATTATCTACCAATTAATACCATTGACCTAATTCAATTTAATTCTATACTGACTATGTAAAAATCATTTATGCACTAATTATATAACCTATCAATCAACAGATCAGATAAAATGCATTTACTATTGGAATATAAAAATAATACTTATAAGAATCGTTATTCACTATATATATATGATTGGTTTTATTTTTTTATTAAACGAGAAAGATTAATTAAAACACAAAATAATAAGAGATTAATTACCAGGAAATCAGTCACAATTGTCCATAAATATTTATAAGGTTGATCATTTATTACGTTTCATTTTCCTTCAATTGGAAAGGATAGTTATAAAGTTCTGATTGGTAGAAAAAATTCAATAATAGTTTTTGTAAACGTCATTTATTTGTTTCTTTTTGTCGAAGAAAAATGGGATGGAAACCTTGAAATAGTTAAAAAGAATCATTTTGTAGGAAAGTGTATTTTAATATATTATTATGTTCCTGTGTGTGTGTCATTGTACAGATTACTAATCCGATGTGTAAATTTTGTTAATTGCCACAATTATTCTTCTGAATTAATTTGCTTCCACTTTCTATCATTATAGTTTTTACATTTTGTGTGTTATGAGATAAGGCAATGTAACCTAATAAATAATAAATAAATAAATAATCACTAATAACTTTAAATAACCGTCAAACTATGTTTCAAATCGATTGAAATTACGAATGTTTACCATTGATTTCCACTCATTAACCTATGGGTTAAGTGCTCTCTGCGAGACCTAAATTTCTTAAAATCCACCTCCGACTATGTTGTAGTTTTGTAATGTGCGGAAGTTCATAAAATAGATTGTAAGATCTGTTCAATCCCGTTGGCTTTCAATCCATGATAAAAACCACCCACCAAAACATGGAATTAGTTAGCCATCATCATCTCCAATCGGTATCAGAGTTCAATGAAGGTACCATAGTTGTAATGTGTAATTGATTGAGCACTCACTAAGTGATTGGACATCTGAACTTTTAATCATCGTGCTGCACACTTGAATCTCATACTATTTAATTCATTTTGAGCAGTCAGATAGTATCAGTAACCTATTTTACAAAGTAAATAACGCATGAAATGTGAGTTCATAAATTTGTACTTTATTAGTTAATAAGTTTAATTTAATTAAATTCTTCTCCACGAGCAGTTTGTTTACATACCGAAAATATATTAATTGTTGATGCGTGGATGCGCACTGCTGAGGAGTCCCGCAACAGGACAAAACGGCCGTCCAGTGCTTCCAGGTTTTCCATGGTGGTCTAGCTTCAGTTGACTTATGATTTAAACTATTGAAATTTCTTTATTAATTATTGATAACTCGGTCATGTAACATTTTGAATTACTATTTCAGTGTACTCTTATGAATCCTAGTAGAAATGGGGCGAAAACTCATGATCAAATTAATAAATAGCAATAATCAATCAGTTTGTTAGCAATTAGTTTTATCTAACTTACTGGTTTTTTTTTACTTTCATCGGCCCGAATCCAGTAATGAATTAATTTGAAATCTAAGCGTTTAAATTAAAGTGCATTGATCACAAAATATCATGACAACTTTTTAATTCTCTCTTGTTCATTATATGATTAATATTCATTGCTTCTTATCCTTCTCTATATAGAGGGAAGTTTGACTTCTAGACATAGTTTGACTCGTTTACCTTCCGATAGTTTTCCGTTCATTTGATGATTATTTACAGTAATGAAAGTGGTGTATACGAACAAGCATAAAATGTATCTATTAATTGATTTTAAAGTTACCAGTCTACTTTCATAATATTTTCTGTATGACATATATTCATCGGTTTATTGTAGTTAATTTGTTTCGTATTTCCCAGTTTTTTCTCTTTTTTAATTCCACAAATATTTTGGATTTTTAAAAAAACAGGCAAGATTTGGGCAATGCTATTGCTAATCGTTCAATTGTAACACTTCCAATATCCATGAATTCAGAAAACGTGAGTTTTGTATACATTTGTTTAGAATAATATCTTCATCTTATTCTTTTCAATGAATTAAAGTAAAAACAGATTAATTCGTGTGAATCATTTTTATAAATTAGTGTGAAGTTTGAAATTTTAATCGCACGAACACAAGACTTCATTACTTTGGATTTGTTTAAACACCCGGCATTCCACAGTTTTACTTTACAAACAATTTTATGTTTGGACATTTTTCAAATTAAAATCAAATAAGATATTTTTTAACTTATAGGACGAACTTATAAGTTAGTTGTATATTTCACAGCCATACTACTGTTATCGGTAAACGTAAACTATGCTGCTATGATTAAATAATTTATGACGTCTTACATATGCCTTGAAAAGCATTTAACACAGCAAGCCTGTAACTTTCGTGAATCTGTAAACCAGTTGTAAATTCTCAGAGTGAAAATTCAAACGTCATGTTCCATCGCCCTTACGATTTTCTAGTCTAATTGTCGTTGACTGATTGTTAGCTACTACCAATTCTCAGCTGTTATGTAACTTCCTGCAATAACTTCAAAATGACTATCGATCTGCAAACTAGAGTCCCAAGAAAACAAATAGGAAGTTGATATTCCAACTGAATTTCTAACTCTATGGTTAATTTAAGCATATAAATCAAATCTCGACACATTCACGTATATTCATACATCTGGTCACTTTTGTGCAAGCAGCTACTCACTCAAACAAAAAGACCAACACGTCCCACCACCGCATTACTGATTATTGCAGACTCTGGTTGGGTAAACATACAAGTTAGTCTATTAAAAATTTAGGATTGTCATAATCAGACAACATAGGAACAAAACCAAACAAATGTTTAGCAGTAATGGTGAGAAATTGATAGATGGTAGAAAGGTAGGATAGTGGAAACCAAGAAGTGGAATCAGTCCGTGAGGTCATGTATCGTTGTACTGAGTTATGTAGGTGAGTGCAGACACCCCAGATCGTGGTTCATGCGACTTCCATGACTAATGATTGGGAAACGGTTATGTGGTTGAGAATCGGTCTCAATAATGCCGGTTTGTTCTCTTTTTGTCTTACTGTCGATCTTGAGTGTGTAAAAGTTTTCATACTTTCTATTTATTTATTTTTCCCGTAATAATATAGTGTATACCCAATATTTTGTTTACCAATGTACACTATCAGAACCTCGACTACTACGTTTTCATTTGTGCTTATATTATGTGACACATTGAACCGATACACACGTGTCTGGTTCTTTGTTGTGTATGACACACTTTTTATGATCAAACTTTCTGAATCCAGTCCCGCTAGACGTACTTCTAAGCCATTTCATCATCGCACTTATTAATATTCTCGTTTTACAGGAAGCTTTATCTTGGCACACTCACCCACCTAATTGATTCAAGTGGTAGCTTTTGAATCCGTTTATGTGATACGATCCCCAATGATGAGACCTAACTGTCAGGTCAGATAATGAGTGTCCTACAACTAATTTCCGTTTATCGTCCATATCATTTTGCTATGCTTATTTTGTGTTCATATTCTGTTCATAAGCATGTAGTTTAATTACTCGGAAAACTATGGCGAACCTATAATTTATGAACGAACCAGTGAAACCACTGCCCTCTGGCGGCAGGGGTGTTGTTTACGAGGTTCAGACGACTAAAAGCGGATGTCTGGCTCACTAACCGAGTTGGTGGATACGGAGGATCCACTTAGAGGAGTTGGAAAAAACTGATTCCAAACCAATGTTAAACGTGGGCTCCAGGATCCTGAGGGGACAAATGGAGTGTAAACCATTTATTGGTGACTGACTACCATGGGACTGCATCTCCTGACGCTGCCCCACTGCTTTGTGCGTTAGACCTTTAGGTCAAAGGCTTGGGGTGTGGCCCCCTAAGAAAACCACCTGCTTCGGTTTGGGTACCCGGGCAGTATCCCAGCACTCACAAAAATCGAATAATTTATGTGACACACATCTATTTGGTGCCCCCTTGTATCAATAAATAAATAAAAACCAGTGATCTACGCAAATAAATGTGATCTTTATGTTAATCTGTACGGTATATATGAATATTCGTCCATATTTGAACAAATAGTTTGATAGAAATCGGGCTCTGAGTATAGAGAAGACATTATTTGTAAAAATTATATTTGAAATAATATCTAAGCTATTGAAATTTAAATAATTCCAATGTTTTTCCCAGCAAACAGTGCCTGGATCTCTGTTTTTAATCTGATCATATGCTTAGATTCAGACTGACGCATTTCTCATTCATATTTATATTATTATACATAAACGATCAGTTTCTATAATTAACCGATTGACTAATTTTAGTATTCGTTTTATTACTAACTCACCGTTAATTTTTCCAATACATGTGTAATTAGGTAGTGTTAAATGTTCTAAAATCATGTGATTGTTATGAATTGTTACATATTTAGATGTAAAACTTATCTATCACTTTAAATGCTAAGATAAAATAAGTCTAATCTAAGAGAAATATCTTTTTACTCATTTTGTGTATTATCAAATTAACACACTTGATAATTTAGCGTAAGTTAGTTTAAGAAGTGTTTAATACGATGTGTAGTGGAGGCTTAGTGAATAAGTCGTTCACCTTTTAACTATGGTGTTGCAAGCTTGAGTCCTGTGTCATCTACTTCGGTTTACGACAGACTGATATTATTATTAGCCTTCACAAATAAAGTGCGACTCAAAGTTGAATACATAAATCTGTACTAGGTCATGAAGTGACATTACAGAGTCAATTAACTCATTTGGGAGTTGTTCGTAGTTTCACTTCTCATATAATATCTTCCTAAAGACTTGATCACCTAATTAATAATCTTTTTCTATTAATCCATGAAATGGAAACTAAATCATTTCTTCCCCTCATTCTTAATTATTATTTGGTTTTCACAATCTGTACTTTTCAATGAAGTACAGTTTATGGATTTCCTACATTATTATGTTTGTTTACGTCCTTTATTTCTGAAGACAAGTGATATATACCGCCACATGTTTCATCTTGATTTCTGTGACTTATATCTAAAAACCATATGGAATTTTTTTCTATTCATTCCTACTGAATAAGTATTAATCTTTCTAAATATTTCATCTAAAAGCAGCAAACCCAAGGTCCGAAGGCGAAACCGTACTGCTGACTGTACAAAGCTGTGATGGCAGTAAGATATTTCCTTCAGACAATCAGCATAACAGTGATGCTGCCCACAAGGATGAGTGGGGTTAGAAAAAGGTGACCCTAAAATGTACATCTCAATGTATCCCATGGATTTCCGTCTCCGGCGGTAAGGTTCTAATAAGTACGGAGCTGACAAGAAAACTACTCACAAAAAGGTAGTGTGTGACCAGCCTCAAGTAGTTGTCCCTTGGACATTGAGTCACGCTCCCAGGTCATCAAAACCACCTCTAGTCCGATTTCCTTTTCAGGTTCCTCTAGGAGAATCCTTCCACGGTTTTGGCAATCGTGAAGTGATAAGTGCCCTCATAGCTCTAACAGAACTCAAGATCAATCTCCCTATTCGATTCCTGTTATTCCTCCTATTTCGACTTTCAACTCTAAACTTCCTCTTTTGAGTTTCTCTTCAAGTGCCGCCATAGCCAACGATTCTTATGCTCGAAACACTGCCTCAGGTCTACTGAAATTTCGCTTCGAACTACACATTTGAGCCTTCAACGTACGCACCCTATCTCAAATCAGTTAGTAGGCCTCCTTGGCTAAAACTTTAGAATCTCGTTCCATTGATGTATAGTTTGTCTCCGAAACACCCATACAGGATCCTAATGTAGTCATTCACTTGACCACACCTAACCAAAACGGAGGGCCGATGAGATTCACTCTCTGTGTATCTGGCGACCCAATGGCTAGTTCTCGCGTACTGGTAGGTGTAGGCATAGTACTAAACAGGAGTTCAAAACAAGCACTTTTAGACTGGATCCCTGTTAACAGTCGCCTATGTGCTGTTTGGTTAAACGGCTCCGTAAGAACTTAGAAGGACAGGAACACACGTCGTTGCCTATTCGCCATCCCTCCATACGCTCCCACTGACCGCAGCCTGGATGAAGTGAAAGATGAATTTTACAGAAATCTTTTTGAAATTCTTCAAAAAGCTGAACGCTCAGACATACTGTTCGTAGCAGGTGATTTTAATGCCCAGGCAGGTAGCTTACACAAAACAAAGACATCTATGCGGGTATTTTAGTATTCCGGCTCATCGAACAGATAATCGTGATCGTCTGCTAAAACTGCTCAAACAATCGTTTATTTTTAACAAGCACCAATTTTAGGCGTAAGTAGAGACATCGTCTGACATGGTGACCCCCTCATCAAGCCAACGATAGACTCAAATATACTATATTGCCATCAGTCATCGTTGGAGAGGCTCGATTGGAGACTGTCCCTCGTTCTGGAATATTTGGACGTCGATCATGCTCTAATACGAGCACGCATTTGCTTGCGCCTCGCTGGACTCTGGAAAACCACATTAAGACCAATTAGAGTTGAACTCAATGACGAGAAAGCCAAACGTAGATTCCAGGAACAACTGAGGTGACATGTATGTGGTTCAGAAAACGAGGCTGACCTAGATATCGCTTGGAAAGATATACGAACTAATTCTTTCTTCTTGTGCAATATCCTTATACGCAATCTTTCTTTTATTAATTACCACCATTGAATCAACTACTTCTATGAATTCGGTGTTCATCTTGTTGTATTAATGAGGTGTGTCAACTTGGACCGATGCATATATGTGCCTGGTTCTACGTTGTAGCTGACTGACTATCAGTTTGTTTTATTTAACAACTTGTCTAATATAACTGATGGCAATGTTCTGAATTATTATTATTAGTATTTTATTATTTTAACACAAAGATATTGGTAAAAGGAGGCACCAAATACATATGCGACACACAAATCTCATTCGATATGTGTGAGGGCTGTGATACTGCCCGGGTGCCCGAACCCAAGCTGGTGGTTTTCTTAGGGAGCCACTCCCCGAGCCTTCGACCTGAAGGTCTGATCCACAAGGCAGTGGAGCATCGTAAGGAGATGCAGTCTCATGGAAGCCGGTGACCAACAATTAGTTCATACGCCATTTGTTCCCGCAGGATACTGGAGCCCATGTGCACCATTGGTTTGGAATCCGGTTAAAGCGCCAGACATTCGCTTTTCGTCCTCTCATTTTCGTAAACAACACCCCCGCCACGAGAAGGCAGTGAGTAGGACTTCCCTGGCAGAGGCTATATACGCGTGGCCATGTGAGAGCATTTCGAGAGGGAGAGCGGACTCTCCCCACTCTCGGCCGTACCAGGGCATTTGGGGGCCCTGAATTACAAACGATTGATCCATTCTTTTAATATAAGACGGGATCTGCTCATATTAGATGACTTGAGGAGCCAGTCTGCTTTTGCGACCCAACATTAATAATGTAACCGCGAATAGAGGGTTAAAGAAGACTAGATTTTTAGGAACGCTTTTATATGCCCAGCTGAAGTCAAAATTTAAAAAAGGTGGAACAACTATTTGGATACAACAACAAATATGACCTTTGAGACAAAAAACATTAGTAGGCGTAAGGCAAAAATAATCAATCAGCTAACAGTACAGTTTATTACGGAAATATGAATTGGAGAAAAGCTTACTTTGACATAGTTGCACGCTATAAGTGTCATTTATTAGTGATGTTTTTAATATTGAACACTACAAGTCCTATTTTAAGAAGTATGATTTTACTGAAATATAGAAAGTTGTGTCCACTCTGATTTTCGGTTTGAACGGTTTAATGAAACTAGGCTTCCAATTTTTTTGAGTCATTTAATTCGTTATAATCTAACATAAAGGGATATAGAGCATAAGTTCCTAGTGGGTGTTATCTTTCAACGTAATTTATATTAATCATCTGGTACCACTACATAAAATAACTGGAGTGCTCGTTAGAATCTTTTGTATAAAATTATCTGAGTAATCTCAGTCATTAACGAATTAACTTGACTAGCACAGTTTATAACATGTCAATTTTGATTATCACTAATTGATTGATGGAGCATATGAAAAACAACAAACCAGAAAAATGTTAGTCTACCACCGGTATGATTACGGACATTGCCGTATTTTGTTAGCCTTTAAAACACTGTCACCTGCATGAATGTTTCCCTTTCTATCTTCTCAAAGCTTTTATTTTTACGTGCTGAAATGTTGGGAATGTGAGATCAACTGTATAAGGGAAAGTAGCATGATACTTCTAGTCAACGTAAATAATTTAAAGTGTGCATTTAATCAAGTAATAAATAGAAATGAATTTGCATGTAGCTATATTATCGAATTTGTTGTGTTAGGTGTTAATTTACAGTGTCGAAATTCTTAACAGAAAGATATATACATAGTCGTCACAAGAAAAAGTCAATAAACTCCACTTAAACAGATACTTTTTTCCTGTGGTTAGCTTAAGTGTGTTTAGATTGTATGTCTGTACATAACTGAGTAAACGTAATTTTTCAAAGAAAATAACGAAATGTTTAATTCTTCTTAAAATTTCACATTTACATACGAAATCCTTAAAAAAACACTACGTATCATATGACGGTACTGTGGAATGTTATGACTGTATCCCAAATTGATTAGATTCAAGACTTTTGATCATTATAATTGCAACTAGTCATTAGATGTTATCATTCTAGCCATGAAATGTATAAATGTCTATTGTTCTATAACCTCTTAAATGGTGTAATCCCCTAATTAAATACATAAGCTATGACTTGGACAGAGATATGTTAATGTAACGGTTTGTTTTAGTTTTCTAAAGACTCTATACTACTTCACAAATACCGATAATGATCTTAACTGACTCGATGCAGTTTTTCATGACAAATATATTGGTTTCAGTGCTTAAAAGGGTTCCATTTTGTGTAACTCAATAGTCTGATTGCAATATCCATCACAGTTCCCCATATGAATTTACTATCAGCATTTACAGCTCAATAATTTCTCATTTTTCAACTATTATCTAGTTCATTTCATTCAGTTCATCATATAGATGATCAAATACCAATAACTTCATAACAATCAATCGTCTCACTAATACTATGTTGTGAAACGTTCCCCGATTGTCCAACTTCGAAATATCACGGACACTTGAGCAACTCAACTACGTACCAATTCCCCCATACTCCGATAATGTCACTCATTTCTCAACTAATCAAAACCAGCTTTCTCCTTATACTTATGACTAATCCTTTTCCTATTTTTTCGTTCCATTATAATACCTTTTTTGTATTTTAATCCTTAGACATAATGTATGTATGTCTAGCCATTCATTATTTGTTAGTTCATCTAACAATCTTTAAATTCTACAATAAACAATGGTTTCTTATCGATCATAAAAATGATTACCCTAACTTATGACTACCATACATTGTTGTTTGCATGGGTGCTGGTAACTGATCTTTTTAGGTGTTCAAAAGCAACAAATCATCTATTATTTTCACTTGGTCTTTGTCTACTTTTCTAGGTCTTGTTTAATTATATATATATATATATCATTTTCGACGATCTTGATTGACTTTCATCTATATGTCTGTATCCATCCTGTTAGCTGCCCCACATACCATTTCCTTGCAAAACATCATTTTGGTCTTGGACATCATACACATTGTTACATATTGCAAATGTTATGTTTGACTTGTTTGAGTTTTCCAACCATTGGTTATGGTAGTCGCATGAACCACGATCTGGGGTGTCTGCACTCACCTACATAACTCAGTACAACGATGCATGACCTCACGGACTGATTCCACTTCTTGGTTTCCACTATCCTACCTTTCTACCATCTATCAATTTCTCACCATTACTGCTAAACATTTGTTTGGTTTTGTTCCTATGTTGTCTGATTATGACAATCCTAAATTTTTAATAGACTAACTTGTATGTTTACCCAACCAGAGTCTGCAATAATCAGTAATGCGGTGGTGGGACGTGTTGGTCTTTTTGTTTGAGTGAGTAGCTGCTTGCACAAAAGTGACCAGATGTATGAATATACGTGAATGTGTCGAGATTTGATTTATATGCTTAAATTAACCATAGAGTTAGAAATTCAGTTGGAATATCAACTTCCTATTTGTTTTCTTGGGACTCTAGTTTGTAGATTGATAATCGTTCTGAATATATCAAAAACGTTTATGCTCTCTGACCCATTAGTAGCATACTATTCACATAAAATATATCAGGAATCTTGTTCGAGTTTCCTCTCTCTTCTTATTCGACTGTGATGAATTTTACATCAATCGACATCTGCTTGTTTAGTAAAACTGAACACGAAAATGCTTTGAACGACTGCTTTTTGAGTAAAATACTTTCCATCGGTACCCACTCACTTTACTGCATACTTACCCATCTCATTGTAAACCTGGCTGCCGATAGTTCAAATCCTACTGAATTTATCGGTTCCCTCAAGATTCTCAGTCAGTCAGCTACATCGTGGAACCATGCACATATATGATCAGCCCAAGTTGATACACCTCATTAGTACAACAAGATGAACATCGGATTCATAGAAGTAGTTGATTCAATGGTGGTAATATATAAAAGAAAGATACAAAGCAGTTTCAATCTCACCGTTTATGGAAAGGCATAGAGTGTATACACTCACGCCATTGTGGTCGATTCTGAACCGTTACCCAGAGTCTGCAACCATTGCGCGTCGTGTTAGTCGGTGTTCAGGCATACATAATACATGAACCAGTCATCTAATTCCATGAAGATTTACAACCTCATCAAATGATTTACCATCATTCCCTAAAACCCTGCGTCTAACCTCACTATTACTTAACCGATGATCCCAGCGGATGCGAGCAATATTCCTAAGACATATTTGTCAGATACTACAGTGTTTGCCACACAACCTCCTAGGTCTAATGTTACCCGCCAACTACTAACAACCGTGCAACACACAGAATAGGATTTAACGTCGTTTTACCTACCTATACAAAATAATCTTTTTAAGAAACACTGGATAAAAATGCATAAATTAATACTCTTTCTATAATTGTAGGCAGAAAAATTGATGGATTTTATTGATATAAAGAGTAGCACTAAAATGAAAAGTGCGTCAAATATGTCTAATCCAAAGGATCATATAAATAATTCACAGTCTATCGAAAATGATAAAAACACTTCACAACAATATATTCTTAAATTTCGATTATCTGATGCCAAAATCGCTCAACGATTAGCTTTACAATTATACACAATATGCAATAGAGTGATAAAAGAGTCAAATAATAATAATAATAATACAAGGATACAATGCAATGATGTCGAGAAAGAGGAAGATGAAAGCACTACTCCCGGTATGCTGACACGATTTAATCGACAATTTCGTGATACGTAAGTAAATCATTGTTTCTTCAAGCTATGCTATACTATTCTAATATATATTAGTTAGAATTTCAATTATATTCCTAAGCTTATCAAAACGATTAGCCTAATGCGATGAATTTAACTGTAATTCATTAATAAAAAAAGGCATAACATTTGTTGTGTAAAATTAATTGTAAAAAACTAATGTCTGATCGTAATATCAATTGATTGACAATATCAAATAACGGCTTACTTAACTAATGTTGGTTTTTAAATGCTTACTTGTAATTTTTCATATCACGTTAACTTGTCCTAAACCTTCAATCTTTTTTTCATCTGTATGATTTTTAGTTTTGCTTAAAGCAAGATGAACCAAATGTCTGAAATGTTAATTTTGCATTTTAAAGATGATTGACATCATAAATAAACCTGCGTGTTACGTAACTATTAAAAGTTAAGTAACCCTAGACAATCTTTTCACCATGAATTATAGTACTTCATATCAACAGTCGAAAAATATAAACCCTTACAAATTATTTGGTAACTATTCAACACGTTAGTAGCTATCTGGACTCAGTAGTTTGATAGATAACATTGTATTTGTAGCGAGGAAGACTAGGTTCGAGTTTCAGTTTTAAAATCATCCGCCTGACGAGCCCTGGACCGGACAAAGCACCCATCTCGGATTCCATTCCTAGCGATATTTGACTACTAAATTTTTGTTATAGATTATTATACTTCTCGCCTCGTTACATAGAATCAAACTACTGAGTATATATATATATATATATATATATATATATATATATATATATATAATTACTACTGATTATTACTATTTGTTGACTATTATTGGACGAAAAATGTCACCATCATGTGTGTTCCTATTTGTTAGCCTAACAGTTGACTCCAGTTTCTATGCTACCTGCATTTCAATGTGTAGTTGATTTTTTTCCTTTCAGTGTTATAAGTATTCAAAGCTTATCAAGAATTATGTTTATTACAGTTTAGATTTTAATGTACTTATGACATTTTATGAAAATACAGTTGACTCATCCATGTCATCCTTTTGTTTATAATAGTTATGTTTTGATAAGATGAATTAGAAGTTATCTTTCTGTTTTATTGTTAAGATTACTTACTGATAATCCGATTCATCCTTTAATATGTATATTTTGGTAAAGAAAAATACTTCACTAGATTTCGTTTACTATATATATTTAGAGATATCTTGTCCCGATGCACGTTTGTTCCTAGTTTTACATTATTTACGATTGACAGATTGATTGACTGATTGTGGTAATCAGAGATAATCTGTTATTCACATTTCTTTCGTGATTGTATTTGGTACTATACAATAAACGAAACGACATTCAGATTAAAATCTGTACCACTGAACTTACGACTGATGCTACGAAGCTTTTAACTAAACATCACTGAATCATTTTCGTTTGGTATTTCATTTAACCAACGATCGCCTCGTAATCCTACATAACATGAAGCGACTGTTTGTTTTTTTTGTTGTTTTTTTTTTAAACTTAACGGAATATTGCATCCAGATTTCACAGACACTGTAAAACTAATTGCCAAATGAACCTCAAATTAGAACGTTGGGTCAGGAAGCGAAAGTTCTCAGACCCACTTAATCTCCTCCTCGAGTTTTTTTGTGAACCAGATGGAAGGATCGACCATTTACGCGTTGATACTGTCAGATCGTTACCGATTTCAGATGGGTATATGCACAGGCTGACCTGCATCCATATATTCAGTGGTAATCTAAGCCAAATGTACCTTAGTGACAACATTTGCAAGAAGATTTATCAAACACTGAATATTTAACTTGAGAGCATTACCAAGACAAAATACGACCTGTTGCTGTGTACAATTTGGAAACAGGTTATTGCAGAAACTTACAGATACTTCCTGTATTGAAATGAATGAGAAATTACCATGATAGATAAAATTCGACGTTAACTTAAAGCTCCTCTGACAGCTGCCGGTAGGGATTATAATTGAATGAAAAGCTACCTTTAGTACGTCTACGTGAATACACAACATTTAAACATGTCACGCCCAATGGATCATAGGCCGTCGACTAGCACTCTCTAACCCACTCTGTCCTGGACACACTTAAAGATTGTTTATAATTAAAATGTAACTTTAATGAAAATTAATAAGAACTTTCGTCTAAATTTGAACGAATAGTTTCACAATATTTGGGCGCCGAGTTAATTTGAGACATTAAAAAGAAGAATATATTTGTAAAATCTCAGTGAATGAATTTTAAGTAAATCCAACGTTTCGCCTGGCAATCTGGTCCAAGCTTTTGTAGTTTGATTATATCTTCCTTGAAAAAGCTTGGACCAGATTGCCAGGCGAAACGTTGGATTTACTTAAAATTCATTCACTGAGATTTTACAAATATATTCTTCTTTTTAATGTCTTTAATGAAAATTGTTTCTAAGATCTTTGGAACCGGAGAAAATTAAAAAACCAATGTTTGTACAGCGTTTTGAAAGTAATTAAGATACATACATGATCTAACAACAAATAGTTTTATATCTTTAACTCAATGCTATGGAGTGTATATGAATAATATCAAGTGAAATGCGAAATTGAATCAGAGGAGTTTAGCACACGTCAGTTATATTTCTGGCCAACAAACTCTTCTATCAGATCCCATTATGTTTCCAGTACTGCTGTACTTTTTACTAGGACCTTTCTTGTTGCAATCTGTTCGCTTTGCTTTCGTGTTGTTACTAGCGTCGGAAGCTTTGTCGCTGGTGTTTGTTCATGACTTTCTAAAAATGTTAGTTTTAATCGACCTGTGGTCACGGTCTCGTATTTCACCTCTATCTATAAAGTGATTATTTACCCGTCCATTCTCAAAACATCAAAAGGGATTTTCATCTTAGACGTTGAATCTACTTTACGATGACTCTTTACGTGATATAATAAAATGTTGCTCTTTCTTCCGAACTGTTTCATTGTTTATTAGCTCTAATAAATTCCTTGTAAACTCTTTCATTTTATAACTAGACTATATCCCATACATTTACAATCAAATTTCTAAAATCTTCATGTGTTCTATACTTCTTTTGATGTTGTTTTGTATCCCAGTATCTGACACCGTTTTGATCGTACGAAGATGTTATGTACATAAATCTTCCGCTTAACTTCGCATATTACCCAGGCTAAACCCATTTGTTTGACGGTGATTGTAAGGAGCCAAATACGGGTTGTTTTGGAGGAATTTTAAGCATTCGTTTATCCAAATGGACATTCAGAATAAGAAGCGAGAAGGCGAAGCGGAACCAGGAATGTCGTTGGAAAAATCGAAAGCGAGTTACCGTCAGCAGGCTACAATAACGTTACTTGTGCAGAATCTCAGATTTTGTTATTGTATTACAACTATTGGGACGATCCCACCAGGATAAGGTGCTCGTCATAAAACCAGAATGTATCAATATATCTCAATGAGTTTTAGATGCAGCTTGTTGAAAATTTGCATATTAAAACGAATTATTTTCCATGTCATACTTGCAGTTTTCTATTGCATCTCAGCTGAAATCAATCCATGACGAATACTAATTACTACGAACAAATAATTGTTTATAGCTGTTTACTTGTTTTCTTTTTAATGTTTGTTCATATTCTTTTTATATACTAATGACTCACAGATAAAGAAAAATCATAACAACATTGTAATGCAAACTATTGGTTTATAACAACATGAAATGGTGATTATACACTTTTCCTTATAGTCTTTTTTATTACAATCACCAAGTGTGCCAAATATGTTTTTGTTTTCATTTTATAGTTTCACATGTTCCATAACTATTTGTCTATGATTTCCTAGTGTTCATTCATGTTCATTCCTGGATAATGTCGAAAAATATTTATGAAGTGTAGTTTAAAGATGTTTATGTACATATGTTGTCTGCAAGTACTTGCTACTATTATTTCTGACTCTGAATCTTATTGATATTTTATTGCATAGTATTAAACACAATGATACTTTAATAATAAATATATCTTTTATGTCCCGATGAGTAGAAAAATTGTATTTCTGACGTTTCTTGACTTAATGTAAGCCACTTCCTCAGAGTAAATAAATAACCGAATTCGGTTGTATTTATTACGAACTTACATGTTGCTTGGCACGATTCGAGATGTCACGAGAGGATTTCGATGTAGAATATATCATAATCGACACAACCTAATCCATAGACACAACTTTATGTATATGTACATAATGCTAAATCCCTCTACGCTCAATTGAAAAGAAGGCCTAATTATTCATCCAACCTGGACTGTTTATCCAAATAACTACATTTGACGTCGTTTATTTTCCATACCTTCTACATACACACACTCAATTTCGACCCCACTACTTTATGTTATAAATGCATACATTTTTCATAACCATACAGGTCATACAAATTCACCATAATCAAGAATAACTTAAAATTGACAAATTCAAATCTATTATGATTTTGATTGTACTAAAAATATTCTGCAATGTTTCCCTCATACTATTTAAACTTGTGATAATTCTATTTCGGTTATTTACTTACTCTGAAGAAGTGGCTTACATTAAGTCACGAAAAGCCAGAAATACAACTTTTCTACTCACTGGGATAAAACAAAAAATATATTTATCATTAACTTTCTACCCGGTGCTCAATTTATTGGAAGCCCTCAAACTCAACCTTGACACATAATGAGAGATTAATTTTCATTAATAGTCTATGTGCTATTAAAACTATAAGCTTGATTCTAAACATAATGTAAGTGGGAATGTGTAGTATTATACTGACAATATTCTAAGTAATTGTTCCATATCTGTCTTGATTTACGTAGTTTCTGATATAGGTTCGCAGTGATTGTTTTCTCAATGGTAAATACAAGTAGAGTATTCACATAATTATGTTATCTATCAATAAAAGAGACGTTTGTAAAACCCACTTTAAAAACAAATATTGTAATTTTACGTTTTAATCATCCATTTGAATACCAATGCTTATTTTTTCATTAAGTTAGGAGATTTTTGTTGAGATCCTATGTACATTTTGATTGTACTTTCATGACAAATGTCAAACCAAAAAAAATTAAACCACGAAACCGTTCAAATTTTACACTCCTAAATACCTTAATTGTTCGAATTGATTGATGTCGAAAATGTTTGTCATTTGATTCCAACTTTACGTATTGAAAACACCCTCTTCTTCATGATAGTTGCAGGATGTAGTTTGAATCTCATTTAAATTCTTGACTCTGCATTTCTGAGTGGTTTGAAATAATCATGAGACTAGTTTTCGATTGCACGAGTTGACACCAGTTAGTCAATAAAGAACACCGTAAATATATAGTTCAACTTATGCATAATACCAACTACAATTCAATGAATGCACTCACCGACCTAAAATTATTATATTGGTGTTTTGATTTAAAAAAGATATATAAATAATGTGTTTGTAGGGATTACTATATTATTACTATAGTTTCTTAACTATATAATTAATTCTTAATACTTCAGTTATAGAAAAATATACTTAATTTATTGATATGTAAATAGTGCTGATTTTCGTTTAATCGTATTCATGCTTATCGTAAGTTATTCTCTATTTTGTTTATTTAATTGAACAATCCAATGTATCAGTGTATATAAAAAGCCTTATTGATGTTTGTATCTCAAATCACTTTGTTAACAGATCATGTTTAAGTTTATCTTAACGAGTTTAAACACAATATTATTGATAAAGTTTATGGAATTAATGTGAAATGAATTGTTTTCTCGTCAACTGTGTATAAGGTGTTTTTCAGTTGTATATATCATCCCTAATCATGCTAATTTGTTTATGTCGTATCAAGTTAAGAAATTATTTGTGAAAAGTAAGTATTGATGAAAGTTCTGTTTTCATCTAGTGATTAATGTAGCACAAACTCACCGTGTATGGTCTTATGTACTTGGCTTCGAGTTATGCTTCAGTTGTATGAAGTTTCGGTTCTACTTCCAAACTGACTAACTACACAGAACGCAGTCTGATGATCTATAAAATTAGAATCCAATAGTGCTGAATGTTGAATATTTTCATTATTGGACAATCGTTCTAGTTTTCAGTATCACAGAAGAGTATTTAACAGTTATTCTTTAGGAATATTGGTGGCTACTGCCCATGTTTATCTAATTACAAGAATTGATCTCTAATGTATTTGGTTTATTTGTTCTTATTATTGTCTTTTAATGTTTACTCTAATGTATTTTATTTAGTAATTTTGAATTCAGTACATTCTATGTAAACTTTAAATTTTATATCCTGTTTCTCATTTTGTTGACATTATTCCTTGCTATTTTCGTTTATTTATTGTTCATCACAAGCTTTTCTTTCTTACCTCTTATCCCTCTCTTTATTCTTTTTTTCTCTTCATTATGACATTCGTCTGTCAATCGTCCTCTTTAAAAATATTATAATTTCATTGTATTCTCATAGTACTGTGTTATCATTGTGAACTTTATTAAAGTATCTGTTTAGTTAAACTTATCAAAATGCAAAATGTGATGTCATATTTCTTAAATTTAAGTATTTTAGCAGAAAGAAAATTGTCCAAGTGTTTTGAACTAGAAATGTTCATAAAGATAATAATATATATATATCTGTTTTAAAAGTTGTTGCTATGAGACAAAACAAAGCAAAACATTTAACTGGATTTTAGTTTTTAGTTATAAAAAATATAGCTATCGAGAATTTCTGTTCAGGTTTATACCATCAGTTTCTTTTTTTGTCAAACGTCACTGGTTACCATCTGAGTCACACAGGTTTTGATTGATGATACAGCTATGTTCAAAGGTGGTAACCTATTCATCTAAATTCGATAATGTAAACCACCAAGTCACAAGTACAAAAACTAGTATAAATTACCACATAAATTCATCCGCCGTTTATGCTAACTAGGCTTCTAAGGTGAACTTTGATAAATATCACGTAAGTTTTTCAACCATATGATTTGTCAGTTTTCACAGTCACAATTAGGTAACACATTACTGTCATGTTTCGGTTAGAAAATCAACACAATGATCCATTGGCTTAATTAGTTGTGCTACCTAAAAACAGTTGATGTATCGACAATCTGAGACCATATTGTTAATTATCTTATTCTGTAATGCATCTACCTACTACTTAAAATTATGTTGATGGTTTTGATTTGAAAATTACGGGATTCCCAGTCAGTTGTTCAACGATAACACAGGCATTTCACGGGTTCTGCCCCTCAACGATTGTCATAATCTCATATCCAAAGAATAAGTACTTTATCAAAATAATTAATTAATACAACTACCGTTTTTCCAAGATAGTTTCCGTAACAGGTCAAATTCAACCAGTGAAATCACTGGAAACCAAAAAGCACTGGACAGTTTTTTTGTCCTAGGTGCCCTAAGGCTTCTCAATAGTCTACATCCTATCAGAAAGTCGATACAATAGTCCAATCCAACTATTTAGATTAGGCAAGTATTTATTCTAAACCGAATTTTTGTTTTTCATTGTATTTTCCTACACTTAATTTCGTAAAGCATCTTTCTATATTGTTTAATGGTTTTATGGTAAATCAAAGTATAATATTCATTTCCTTTCTTTTGTTTTTTTTACAGGTTTAGATGTTTTTCAAGACCATTTAATATGAAATCGAAAGTACCTAAACGTAAACCGTGTTCAACACTACTAGATCCAAATACAACTACACAAGATGTTGATAATAATAATAATATCGAGGTAACTATAACTGTTCAGCCATCTTCTGTATCTGATCATACTCTGCTAACTTATAGCAATGTATTACCGATGTCGACTACTGGCATACCTACTACCAGTGTTGCTTTTGTTACAAGTAGTATTAGTAGTAACAGTTGTTGTATAACAGTGAAATCTTCAGTTCATGATAATGTTGATGATGAAAATCTTAAAAAATGTTCATATTCTCCTATGTATTCATCTGTTCAAATAAACTCACCTACAATTATTACTACTAATCAATCATCTATCACAGCTACTACACATACAACATTTATATCAAATTCCAAATTGAATCAGCAAAACATTATCACGACGAATTCTGAAAAAATACCAGTAGTTGTGGAACCAATTGAAGTAGCTGCTGGTGAAGCACAAGCAGAATTAAATGAACTTGATAAACAAGTTTTACAGTAAGTAAACCGTTTTGTCTGTAAAATAAAAACGAGAATGAGCAACACAAACATTACACAATTACTGTATTCATTTAGTCGTCTTCAACGTAGAGTCTAAGACAGATGTAAGTTAATACAAGCAAGTTATCGTAACACATTAACAAGACGAGATGAAGAATATAAAATGAATTGCGAATGAGATCAAACTTATTTGTTTGAAATTTTAATGAGAATGATTGGATATTAAGAATATGGTCGAAGAACAAAGAGTGGGACAATGTATAGAAAGAAATTCAAGATCGAGAAATAAAGAATAAATGAACCTGCACATTTTGAACCAATTCTATATGAAGTCACGTAAAATGTCCTTTTTGTTTACTGTGCAAAATGTTCTATCGAAAAAAAAGAAAGAAATCTGTGTTATGTACTCAAGAATCGTTGACCCTTGATTCCCAAGCCATTTGTGTTGCTATAAGCTTTCTTTGTTTACGTTCTCAAGATCATTACATTCACTTTGAAATTACTAGTTTATTCCTCAGTAGCTAAGTGTAGATTGATAGGACAGAATGTAAATAAAACTCACTTTATTCAATATCAAATACTATACTTATTTACCCGGCAATACAATAGAATTCTGGTTCATGATGTACTGCTTCTTTTGTATCCGGATCACTAAATCTCAGCTTCACTAAATCAACTATTAGATAAGATAACCAAATGTGAATATAAGTGATATCGTAGGTCAAATGTTTGTTTGTTTCATCAAAGATCGAATAACTATCTACTTGATTGTTAGAGTGATGAATAGACTGATCAAATTATTACTTTCGATAGTCTACCTAGAGCGAATCGGTTTATTAGTAAATGAAAATATTTCTCCATATAATATTTATATTTTAAAATTATGACTTCATTCATCTTTGTCCTTTTTTATATCATTTAATAAAACGCTGCCGAGTATAATTAGTTCTACCAAATTAAGATGACAATTTGTACCACTTTACTCGCTTACTACTTCCTAATGTCTAAGAAAAATAAAACTTTTTCAGTTTGTAAGCTACCATCTAAAGAATAGTATTTCAGAAATCGATCAATAGTCATTGAAAATATATCCAATTAATTAAACTCGTTACCAACATGTTTTTTCATGCATTTGTTAAATGATAAAATAATTTCCTTGTATAATAACTAACTACTGGTGTCGGCGAATAAATTTGCAACCATTCAAGTTTTTTCATTTAGTGATTTGTTTTTTTTAAATACGACTATTATTCACACTTGTTACAAACATTGATACACATTATGTGTGCTTTGAAACTTGTGAACTTGGTTTATACCATAATTTTGTTTGATTTAATAGTTTTATATATGTTCAGTTGTGAAGAGTTGACCAAATTTTGATGCTGTGAATCATTGACTAAATTATAGTCATGACATTTTGAGATATTTTTGTCATTTTAAAAAGCGTAAGATTACTGCCTCTGTTACAATGCTAAGATGTGTTTATAATTTATGATTAAAAAAGAAATAACTAATGAACTCAATAAATTTACATTTATTCATTAAGTCAATGATTGATTGCGAATAGATTCACCTGTTTTATTTAAAGAAACATGATAAATTTATCTCTACGTGATAAATATATATCCAAGTTAACACTGTATTAGATTTGTGATACATTAATTGTCTTCGAAATGTAGACGGTCAAATTATTCTGGTGATTTAATAACTAATCAACTTATAAATTAACTTTAATGTAGTTACATATTAAAGTTTGTTTGAATATCGAGTTTATATCGACTGTTACCTATACTCCTAAACTATCTTCCCAGTTGGTTCCGATAACTCCAACTACTTTGAAATGTCAATTGGAACAGTAGATTGAAGGCGGGAAATATGAGTAATAGTTTTATTTCATGGTTTAGATAAACAGGAATATTTATGGAGGTACACACGACCTTGGGCTTTTAGAAATTTCTGGATCCATGCTAAATATTATAGTGGTGAAGGTCAATATCTTATCAAAACTGAGGCACATGAATCCTCGTTTTCTAGATGCTTCTGCGAAGATACTACTCAATACTGATTAGATAAAACTTTCCCTTGTGCTCCTGGCAGCCATAAATGTTACTCGAGTTTTGAATTTGATTCCAATGATTTTTAATAAGGACTTCAATCATTTTATCTTATAGGTTTGTTTTTTTCCAATTTTTGTTGTTATGATTTCGAAACGAACATTAACATTGAAATCCCCAGTTACATCCTAAAACTTGTGCATCAAATATGACCGAACACATACTGAATCTCACTGCTAGATAGTATCCAACGTTAAGTTAATCTGCTAAGTTACGAGTTTTTTTAAACTGTTTTGTGGTATTGTCTAATCCAATATAATGTATTTAGTGATATATAGTGCAAGATTTTCAGCATCTGTTGCAACATTAAAACTTTGAAATTATTGTATTTCAGAGTAATTTGATTAACGTTATTTTTTCGCAAAGCTTTAATATATCACAGTTCTATCAGTGACCATATCTATCTGACCCATAGAACTAAATCTTTGATAATATAAATGTTCCAGAATTCCAATGAATATTTTGGGATACAAAAGTGGCCGGACTTAATTCGCTTCCTCTATTTCAGATCAGTGCACATTTTCTTATCTATTTACATGATAAGTTTAGTATGCAAACAACGCATAAAAGAATTGGATTCTTCTTATTCTCTGATATTAATTTTTACTGTTCTTTTTTGCTTGTGTCGTCCAAATATCATCAGTTTTCCTATGGTCGTTGCTCAATTCTAAGCTTCTAGCTCTTTAGCAGAATCGCTAGATCCTATAACAACCACTGAGTTGTCATCTGTGAGTAAGTGACTGTCTGTTTGCAATAGACTACGCGATTCCACTCAAATCATATAGTGTCTAATATTTTCAACTCCTAAAAATTACACTTTTTCGGTAGAATTTATTGTAGAGTGTTTCGAAAATTTCTACACAACAATTTCAATTGATTGATTAAAACTTACTACATTTTGTCTTTAATTTTCTTTAGTTCATTACTAATGAATAAATCTTCAACGATTGTTTCCTCTGTACCTGTTAACAATTTCTCGTACACCATCGCTAATACTTCAATGATGACAACGACAACACCCATGAAATCCATTTCAAATGAATTATCTTCACCTCAGTTATCGTCATTCAATAATTTATCATCTGTTGCTATGAATAAATCAAATTCAACATTTCATAAAGAACCGTTAAACATCAGCCCCATGATAAATACTACGATAACAACATCAGGGGCAACAACAACTACCAATGAAGATAATTTGTCAAAACAATATACAAATGAAAGTATCTTTTCATCATCGACAATTCCAACAAATGGTAATCTTGCTACATTTTCACATTCATCATCTTCAGTACATACTGAAATGTCAGAACAGAAGAATTTTATCACATCAGCCATCAATTCTAATGTTACTAATACACACTTTGTACAATCGAAATTGGATACAATCGTTGTAGAAAAAAAGATTTCTGATGATGAAAAGTAATACTGATTTTATATATTTAAATTTTTGTGTCATTTCTGTTCATTTCTATTTGTCAGAAGTCAGTTATTCATGAACACCGTAAAACCTGCCACTTATACATATCCATCGATCCGAGTTATCGCACGATCATCAATACATTGAGATGAAATTATCGAGACCAATGTCGGAATTGTGAAGTAGTAACAATATTAGTGGTAGTATAAAAAATTAGGTATAAACAATATGATTCGAGAAAAAATGAATCCGCTAAATTAATTTTAAAACTGGGACTATCAGCCATGTCACCCAACACCAATCAAACAGTCGATGACTTCGTGGACTGGTGCTAAGTCTTGATTTGTCTACCCTCAACTTCATTCAAACTTTCTCTTACACCCACAAGCATCTTTCGTCGAAAAGTTTATATAGTAACGGCAGTCTTTTAAAAGTTTGGTCGTATATATGTCTGTAGGACATGAAACTATAATTCAGCTGAATTTGTTCGGTTATAAGCAGTGATTTCTATGATATAATTGAAATCATTATTTAATGATTACAAGGAATTTTCTTTGACCAATGAGTTTTTTCATCTCTAGGACACCAGCTCGTTTGTTGTAAATTTAACATTTCGAAATGATGTTCTATAATAGTTCGTCAGTTTGTTTGAATTCCGTTTAAATTAATTCCTTCCAGAGATGTATTTTCTGTCAATGGTCTTATAATGCGTATCTGTTCTACTGTTAACTACTTGTAGTATCGTTTTATTGTACACTTGTTTCGTCTTTTTTTCGGTAATATCTAATATCATCAATAAGTTGAAATGGTACAATCCATACATTTATTTTTGTTGTATGTCAATTCACGTAATCATGAATGTGTGGTAAAGAAAAACTACAAGCCAAAATGCACTTCAAATTAATCTTGTTATCTCTGTGCAAAACACACACACACAAATAGATCACAATTAGAAAAAACAATTTTATAACGGTTGAATGATTCATTCGATTATATGTGATGTTACTGTGTAGACACATATTTTTTCTACGTAAATCCCAATTTTCATATTACATTTGGATCGGTATAGTTAAGATGAATAATAACAAGCAATATTTAATGATATTCTCCTCCGTTCAGTATTTAATGTTGTAAATATACTATTATTTTTTATCAATACTACTTTGTCCCCTCGTTTTACTACATAGAATAGTGAACTAATTAATTAAAGCACTCATTTTTCAACTAAGAGGTTATAGGTTCGAACTCCTTCATCTACTTTGAATAATATTACTAGAATTCATAGTGGCTTAAAACTGAATACATAATCATACACTTAGTAAATAATTCACTTACATTTTCACATGTACTCAACTCTTATATACACTATGTTGTTCACGAAGAGAAGCTTGAATTCTCCACTCAAGTAGCTAATGATGATTATGCCTGTTTGTTTGGATTGGAGAAGGGTCAATTTATTCCTAAAGCGATTCCGTGAACAAATTATCACAGTAGACTACAGTCACACCGCTAATTTTGTTAGTCGATTTCGCTTAGCATAGAACACACTGAACTCGTTTCATCTAAATCCATTATATTGATAAACTTCAAATGTACTGTTTTTCTTCATAAAACGAGACCTCATTTAAAATAATATGAGAAACAAACCAACTCTTTGTTTGGGTCAATGTGTATAAGTAAGTTGGTCATTGAATAGATGATGTTGCCGCGTACACACCAAGTTCAATTGTTTTCTTTTTTTAAAAACAAGAAACAAATACTCTACTACTTGAATACGCTCATGTTTTCTTATAATAATGTGTTGTTATTGTGTTCTTTTCGTATATTCATTGCAAGTTGAAGAGATGATAATTTTCTCGTGTGAAATAATAAACAATCATTTGTACTCACAATACTTTTTAACATAAATAGATCGTTATTCGTATTCAGTATTTATCTAGGTATAATCCAGTCAATTATATCCTAGTTACCACTATTATTTCTAGCATAATCACTTCAGTTAGTAATAAATAATAATATTGATGATAACAAAAATTATTCTACTGAATAATACTAACTAATAATTAATCAATATTGATTAATCCATCAAATTAGGTCATGATATTTTGTCACTTACATTGTTATCCATAATTAGATTAACTAAATCGCCTATGATACAACCATTCAAATAGTTAAACTAAGCGTGAAATAACCGCCCCTATAAGCGATATTTGTTTGCTGCTGTAAATCCTACTAAACGTTTTTATAAATAATTCAACTTGTGTTTACAATAAGCAAATTTATGTGTTCGTCTCTGATCTATGCTTTTTTTATGAGATCTGTTGTTATTATCGTGTTTCATAAACTATAGTCACCGTAGAATGGATGGTTTCAACGTGCTACCTTATGAATTTAAGTTGACTGCCTGAACTATAAAGTCACATCTTAAATAAAGTTAATATATGTCTGTGTGTTTAGATTAATTTTGTTGGTGCACAATGATACTTAATTATATATTTTTAATATTGTCTTGTTTGGTAACCAAGACAATTTTTTTCAATATAATTTATGCTATTTGTTTGATAGTTTTGACAACCTCAATCATGAAAGTTCACTGCATTATAACCAAAATTCAATCAATCAAATCGGTCGAGAATATCTGTAATAATAATAATACTTTCTTGTATCTTTTGCACTTGGTTCACACGATCAATAATTAAAAAAGATGACACTCTAAATATGAATATTTTCCTTAAATTTGTTATGGTTAGACTTTAGTTTATTCGTTTTTTTTATATTTATTATAGCTTTTCCGCTCCTAGCCACCAATTTATCTGTTCTATATTGATGTAGATGCATTATGTCATAATATCAGACATTTTTTCATTACTAAAGATTATTGAAAAAAGCAATAAGTATAAAGGAACTATGAGAGATGTTCATATTGGTTTATTTGTTACTAATATTGATTTTGAGAAATCAATGTCAGTTTATATATTAATAGTGACCTAAAGGTGTATTGATTATAAGATCAATTTTTCCCCTTATTTATTTATAGTTTGAATCTTCAGGCTACTTCAGAGCATGTTAGTTGTGTCACTGGATCATCTATAAAACCTGTTATAGCACATTCTGTCAGTGTGGTTTCTGCTAAAAACAATGTTGCTTCATCAGTCGATGTCAATAATAATAATTATAACATCCCAGATTTTCAAAATGTCAATTCATATAACGATCATAATGTCAAGTCTACAGTTAGTCACGCCACAAGTTTATACGCTCCACAACCATATACAACAGTTAAATCCGATACGAATAATAATATTTTAAATGATATAAAGCCAACTTTAAACGGTTTCAAACATGTAATGGAAGATGATTCTCGCAAGATTGCTCATACTACTTCACCTTCAACTATATTAACTTCTGATTCATTCCAATCGCGTATTAAACCACCTTCGTTTACTGTAAAAACATCAGATTTAAACAAAATAAGCACTACAAAAGTAACTTCTACTACCGTTAAAGTTGATGAATCTTTCAGTTCCAACCATGTAACACATAATAATAATGATAATAACACAATGTCCGATTCATTTCATACTCCAGAAAGTATAAAAAATCATAATAAAATAGATTCTCCCGAAGTAAGTTAACTTTTCATGCCGAAAAACTGTTTCAATCAATTAATGCTCAACTGTCAAATATATTATATCGTGATATTCTGTTTGAACTTCACTTTTAAGGACATTTAAAAATCGATAACAACATGGCAGTATGTATTTCCCTCCCTCACAGAGTTTGATCAATTACGATCATTAACGTCACAAACAGGAAAATACAAACCGTTAGAAATAAACTTCACACCCGTCCCGCAAGCTAGTGGATATCAGGACTCAGTAGTTCAGGAGATAACTCATTGAAGCCAATAATCGTTTGGTCAGTTCTCGTTATCAATCAATGGTTACATAGGAAAAAAGCTGTAAATAGTAGTTAATATATGGATAACCACAATTCCTGCATTTGTATTTGGCTGAAGTTTGTTAATTAAGCTGATGAATTGATTTCGAAGAGATATTTAGAATTAAAAATCAAAATGACGTAATTTTTTTGTTCAATCATGTTATTTACTTCAAGCCTTGGAATCATGTTTACAGTGACTTATTAGATACAGTAATCTACTTAAAAATAGAAAATGATTACACCATGTAAATTGTTTAAAAATATCAAGTAATAGATGTGAACTGTGCAGCAATCTATAGGTAACGAAACTAGAATTTATGGAAGACTTTTTGCCGATACTTAATTGACCTTGAGAAGCTTCAATCATTTATCAAGTTCAAAACAGGAATATAAATTTACGTAAACAATTAAGACTATGACTTTGCATTATAAGTTATTCTTAGGAATTAGAGTTAGGGTTTTCATCGCGAACTGACATCTATAATGCTAAAACATTAATTAACCATATGGAGACTGAATTTCGCACAAAGTCCAAGTTTCGCTAGCTTAAATCCGATTAGTTCGTCCATAGATTATGGTCCGACCGATTCATAGTACAATGAAATATCTCACATGCTGCTTTTACACAGACAGTTCAAACTAAAACCATTGGATTACTACGTTCTCTGTATTCCACAAAATTTCTATTTACCTATTATTTTTCAAATATCCACTAATCCAAAACTGTGTGGAAGGTGACATTACAAAGTTTAACAAATTGAAATATTTTCTCAACGATTTTGCAATTTATTCTTTCTGGTTTACTAACATATTATCATCGAAAAGAAAATTTTCTTTGTTAAATCATCTTTATTTCTTCACTGGTATGATGATTCTCTTTCATTATTGTAAACTTATTTATTATTTATTAAAGTTAGTTTTAGTTATAAACCAACAAGATTGGTACCCAGCAATTTGCATGAAAATCTGAGACTTTATCTCAACTATCGCTTCAGTTAAAAACACATTTCCTCTTTATTTTACATTAAGTTGATTCAATCTCTCCATAAAAACCAACCATATAATTCTGGTGCGTTTATAACTTTGTAAAAACTTGTTACAACTGTACGTGTACATTTGTGAAAAACGATGACATAATTTTTGGCGGTAGATTAGATAGCAATTTATACAATGTTTCTTTGTTAATCATATTATTCCTTTTTTTCGTAGAAGAACAATACACCGAGTACACCACCCGTCGTATGCTCTGCGTCAGTTAGTGTAACTGGAATTCGTCCACCAAGTGGTATTAAAGCTCCATCTATTACCCCAGATAAAATGAAGTCTAGAATTACTACTAACGGACATACCAATCCTAGTGCCATCGACACATCAGTTGTGTCTACACCTGATGATGATATGACGCATAACAAAAAACAAATTCCTACAAGCGTTGAACCAACCTGCGAATTGATAAAAAGACAAGAATCAATTACAGAGGATAGTTTAGAACATCCTAGTGGTTTACCTAGACCTCTAGGAATTTCACCTTCATCTCATGGTAAAGTTCAATCTAAGCTTCGACCTTTATCAGGAAATTCACCGATCGCCAATTCTGGTATACCTGCACCGTCTATAATGCCACCCCTTGTTAGTGGACAATCTCATATGCCTGTACCGATGAATAATACTTCTATTCCTCTGCCTAGTGGAATAAAACCACCATCTCGTTCATCAAAGTCTGCATTAGCTAAGGTAAGGTTTTTCTTCGTATCTGGATGCTTGCTTCATAATATTCCATGTTTTTTGTCAGTCGTTTTCCTTGAAGAGCTGTAACCTATTGGTTATACACTTCCAACCATACTATGACCAGTAAAGGCTTCTGAAAAATAATGTTTTTTTGCTTCTCGCTTTTTTCCCATGACATTCACTCACTGATAGAGTTCAGAAGTTGAATTCAATATCCAATTCCTTAACAGTCTTTATATAATTGTATTTCGATGATCCTTTTTGAATCCGTTCATTTGATGTGGAAATATCGAAAGTGTTTACTAATACAGTGTACTTATTGGCCAAGTAAGAGAATTCTAAACGTATATCTATCAGTTCAGATTGTTTTGTTTCATATCCTGAAAGTTAATGATTCCTGTCATAGCTTTCGACACCACTAGTCAGGATCAGTAATGGAGTTTGTTTCGTCCTACTATGGTACTCCTCAATAGTGCTCATTCACGATACCATCCAAGAACGAAACGACCGTCCAGTGCTTCCAGGTTCTCAATGGTGGTCTAGTTTAGACTGACTCGTGAATTCAACTGTCAAAAATACTACAATCTTCACAAATCCTCACCCTGATAATATACTATTTTGGACGTAAGGTGTTTGTGGAGATTGTTTTTTCTCATATCTTGCATTGACTGAATATCTTTCGTCTAACCTTCGGCGGCACCACAGAATCACATTGCTGAAGATTCCTTCACGAGATTAGGACAGTTGTCTAGTACTTTCTGGCTTTCAATAATTGTCTAACCGACGTTAGTTCGCTTTATAAAATATAATTTATTTTCTTCTTGTTATGTAATTATTTAACTCTCAGCATTGTACTTTGTCTGTTTTTTTTGCTTACCCATATTTCAGTGATAACAATATTTAATTATAATTATCTGACATATAACATTCAATGATCCAGAAAAGAATCAAGTAATAGAAAGTCTTCTAAACAAAATTGGTTACAAGATACATTTCAATTTGTCTTGTTTTTCCTTTTATTTAGTTATCATTCTTCTTTCTGAACAACACTCTTTAAGCAAAATTCCAGTATTGTTTATTTATTCCCTAATTGTTCTGATCTTCCTTTAGTCCTTCCTTTTTAATAACGATAATATTTATCAACTGATTTTTCTAATGGTATACACACTGTGTTTTTTTTCGTTTCTTTAACTTTATTATTCCGTTTGTTTATTGTCCTTCTCTCTTTTTTTTCTTTAACTTGATCATTTTATTGAAGAAAAATATTGATTTGAAGTTTATATCAATATCCCCTTACAGATATTTAATGTGCACTAAAGAAAATTATTTTCAGTCAAAATGGTGGACTATTTATACATTAACATGAAACAGAGAAAATGGCTTCCTAGTTGAACAATGAAGTCATTTCATATCGTGTCTATGAGAAATTATTTTACAGAATATAATCAATATCATAGTACTACTGCACATTTCGAGTATTTCTCAGAATTAAAACATTGATTTAACCTTTTTTTCAGTTCACTTTCTCTTGTGAACCAGAATATTTTCATTAAACCTTATTACTTATTCGTATATACAGATTTCTTTGTTTGTGCGTCGCATGTGCTCTCTTTCGTTATGCAGCGATTGTATAGACATCTTTTTGATTTTGAAATTACATTAATCTTCTCTAAAGGTGTGTGTGCTCTGGATTCCTTTTTTTACAAAAAAAATTCAGATAAACTATTGATCACTGGACGAACTTTTTTTTGCTTTTCTGTTCTTAATAATCAATTTGTCAAGTTTGACTACTTCTATTCTGAAACATATAAGATAATTTTATGCCTTCGAATCCTAATACCTATTTTAGATGTTTACATTTTAATTTTAAAAGCAAATAAACTTGATCAGTATTCTTTTATTTTGTTTGTTTCACACTAACAAACTCGAAAACTTTTTCGACGGCACCATTTTTTATTCGTCATCGAAATCCGTTGCAAATTGCTTTTTTTTCTTGCAGCTTTCTTTGTCAGTGTCATCTGATCGTTTCTGATCACATTTCAATTTCGAACTGTATTCCTTTTTTTCCTTACGACATATGTTCACCATAGATTGTGTTATTTTCTGTTTCTCTAAGTGAGCTTATGGGAATTCGATTTACAAACAGATTTAACAAAACAATAGGATGATTTTGTTCACATTCTATCAGTAATTCATTTTCTGTTTAAAAAGTATTATTGACTGAAATTATTTTTAGCTCCTATGAGTCCACAAATTGTGCACTATGAATAAAACATATATTCATTGAAGTTGGTTTATTGTCCAAATATATGAATTAAATGATACTATATAAAATGTTTCTATTTAACCATAATTTTTGACAAAATTCCGTAATTGATTAACTCCGTCCATTGATATCTGATTGTACCTATTACAGATGAAAGAAATGTTAGCTACAAAAGCTACAGAACTGCGAATAATACTTAAAATTCATTCGTTGAGATTTTTCAAATATATATTCTTCCTCTTTAATGGCTCACATTAACTCGGCGCCCAAATATTGTGAAATATTTCGTTCAAATTTAGACGAAAGTTCTTATTCATAATACGTTTGAATGTTTGATGCTGAATAACTGAAAAATGTAGCCTGTTTGATTGACTATTATTAGCTGATATATATGTATCTATGTCGTTTAATTCTGTGAATATCTGAAGCTTCACTCTTATAAAGCTATCCACGTGTTCAGCAGTAATGTAACCTCTCATGGGAACTTGTTTCTTGACAAAAATATATGCCTGTGACCTAATGGCGATATCCAGGCAATTCACACTGGATGCATATATGCTAAAAGGGACTAAATTCCTGTCCTAAACATCAAAAGGAGGATTCAAATAATCAGCACAAATGAATTAAAAGTTCACCCGATTGAACAAGCTAGTGGCTATCCGAACCAATAAGCTAAGTCGATAACGTGATGGAGTTTGAAGCGAACGTCACCGAGTCTGGGTTCCGGTGTGAACACAAACTCTGAGATTCAAGCATACCAAGCTGATGAAGATTCCGCTGCTAGCGATCATCTAAATCCGCTTATAAAAGTAAATGTAGTTGCTAAGGCTTTTAGATCTTTGTTAATCTAAGACGGTTGACTTCTAAGATAAATGTCCAGTGGATTTAACTAAAGCTGGAAAGTTTGAAGGTCCTCTAACCCTTTCCTATAACTTTCAATCGGAATGAACCTGCCATTTAGCAAAAACATGATTTCTGTATTTTAAGAAATCCAGGTTTTCATGGTGGTTTAGCTTTAATTTACTCATGATTTCAGCTATTAAAATGAGTATAATAGCCACAAAATCACTTCTAATATAATTCTTCATAATTTTTGTGAATCAACACTTTTAACCATAATGAATGCAGTTCTTGAATATGCTGATCGCATTTTTACTTTTAAAAAATCTTATCAACATTGATGAAGAGTCGTCTGATAAAATAACAACAGAAACACCAACAACAACCTTGTATGACCAACTTGTGTTATGAGCACTCAAATGTAACAACCCTAATTTACTACTGTAATATTTACCAAACGAAAGTGTGAAATTTGATTCCATTACATAAAGGCAATCATGAATCCTTGGCAAATTATGATTTATTTTCTTAACAAAGTCTTTGTTACATTTATCACTATAGTCTATAAAGATGAGAATTATTCCCTAAACTTGAGCATAAAAGCTCAGTTTAACCCTCATAGTCACAATAAATGATTAGTAACATGTTATTAGTTGGAGAGCTTTATCGATTATTGTGAAAAAGTCATGTGAATTATCTATTAGATGGTATAAACCGTCTTTAGCAATGAATTATAACATAGGTTGATTAGCAGATAAATTCAATGATTTGTTCTAACACTCAGTTAAGAATATTTTTTAAATGTTCAGAAACATCCTGTCTCTTTAAAAACATTATTGTTTGAGATCATCTTAAATTTCTGGAATCAAGTATATATTATCGCATTATATAACTGTTATAACTTGTGACCGCCAATGAGAGAGCAGTGAATTGTCGACCGGACCAAGGTCGCGTAAACACGTGCGAGCAGCCTAGAGTCCTGGTTGATCCTGCTTTCCGCCTAGCCCAGCCAGTTAAGTCCATAACGCTAATCTCAGCCTCTGCAATATGAATCATTATATTCCAAACATCCTCAGTTTATATACCAATCAAACAGACCACAACGTAGCATAAAAAATAGAAAACAACATTTGTACAAAATGTGGCTGTGAATATGGGAGGTAGTGACTAATATACAGGGCATAATTCAAGAATGGTAAAACCTATACTAATAGTTCATAAGTCAAAATAAAGCTTATAATAAGAAGAACATGAATATGAATGGTTTAGTTATTTGACAATTATACGTTTAGTATTGGTCCATAAAAGGATCCCAACGTTACCACTCATTATGTTTATCGGAAACTATCAAAAACACATGGTCACAATTTAGTAATGAAAGAAAAGAATACTACAAAGAGCTAGTCACACTTCAGATTCCGTACATCTTTATTTTCATTATTTAAGAATTAATATTCAGCGTCAACTGGATAAACATGTAATAACAAAAAGAAATAGAGTTTTCTTGTGTTACGAACAGCATGAAAACCAACAGAAAGTATATATCATAATATGACCACCCTTGATATGAATTTCCTTAAAATCCTAATTACATAGTATGTGACATCAACCAACTCAGCGCGCGACAATAACTTGATGATAACAACAATTGGACATCATAATTGTTAGTCAAACAGATTATGAACTACTGAATTCCAAGTTAAGGACTTAAAAGTAGTATAATCATCACAAAACTTGGAAGCATTAGATTCTATCTCTTATTGTTACAATTCTAGGGATTTTGAATCGGAAGTAAACCATTATTACTTCTTTTGGATAAAATTACATATGACTTGTACAGAATCTCCATTAAACAATGTAGTAAATAGTGAATGGATGAAACATTTTAATTTCATACTAACATAACTATCAATTTTTCAGTTTATATAAATCTCGATTAGTATGTACAGTATTTAAGGTTAAATGCTTATTATTGCAATTGTATTTCTGGATTTTGAAAGTGTAATTGAATATTGTTCGCTTAAATCATATCAAGTAACTGGATCATTTAAGACTTTAGAATAATTGCCTACTGATTATCGATCCGTAAACAATTTGAAAAAAAATGAGCGGACAAATGATTTATGATATTCATTAAAGTGACATTATGATTATTAAATCTATCGAAGTTTTTCCATTGTTTATGCTAAGGTTGTGTTAGATACTTTTATAACCAGGCTTACTAAGAAACATATATACTATTCAATTACTAGATTGGAGAATATTTCTTGACCACATCGGATAAACACATTTTTCGTTGTAAGAATAATTGACTTGAATACAAATGTACAAATCGTGAATACAACAGTATATTGCCCAGTTTGTGAGTCTGAATTAGAAAGTAATGTTGATTTTCACTTTGGTTTCAGACTGAAATCTGCTCAAAATGAAATACCTTCACATTTAATAATATATAGAACCATTTTCAAAATCAAACAACTTTGTAATGAAGGAAGAATTCAATAATGCCAATTGATAAACATCTCATTGTATCAACAATTTTCAGAATTTAAGAACTTTTTCGTTGATTATTGACTTCCACTAGACTTCAGCACGAATAAATCTCTCTTTTTTTAATATCAGTTAGGACGTGTGTATTTAGTATTTTCCAGTATCCCTCAACCCTTTAAGTAACACAAGTAAACAAAATGACTGATCTTTATCTTTCCTCTTTCTCTCTCTTATGTTTATAATTCATTCTCACCATCCGAATGCTTTGCTTATTTACCAAACATCTTCAATGCTAAAAACCTATTATATTGATTACTACTAAAAAGTTCTTACATTCATCTTATACTTCAAACTACCACCTTAAATAAAAATTCATTTCTCAAATTATTATTAGTTTTGTCACCAGTAATATAATTGTCACTCGTGATTTATGCAGAGTCGTCATTTCTGCCAAATTATTTTTCAGTTATGTTATTTTCACCGAAATTTCATGTTAATGTGGATTGCTGTTACATTTTTTGACCTAGTTGTCACTTATTCTCAATAGAGGTTTTAATTTCAGCCAATCTCACCTCCCACTCTATTTCTCTCTGTCGCTTTTGAGGATCATTGTTTTACCACATGCTGTGACCACATAAAAGGCCTCCCTTTTGTTTAATGTCAACTACGTCTCTACAGGTTACTTTTATGCACAACTCAAAAGTGTCAATCTTATCTATTGTTAGTCTTGTTCAATATAGTAATGGAATTGTAATCCTACGAAACTGGATATCATAAAACATGTATTATACGCATACCTATCTTCAGTGATTTCATATTACACTTAAAAATTATTGTTTAGATATTAATTTTGTACAAAATTTGTGTTGCTATATTTTGAAGCTATTATACCAAGGTATGCTCTATTGACTGGTTGCATTGAAATTTAAAACTCAAATTAAATAAATATACGTTAGATAGAAAAATTCTGATTTTATAATTCTTCCTGGGTTGACATAGTTTGAGTGACGTGACGTCGCGGTCATTATATTGGTGTGTTAAATTGTTAAAGGTAATTGATAGTCAACCGTGGACCTAGGTCCGCAAAATATACCTACAGTCTTGGAGGTCTATGTCTCCCAGTAGAATTTGCATCTGAATCACCTACTCCCACAGTCGAATAGCTCAGTGGTAACATTTCAGAAATATGAAGCCGATTGATGCGAGTTTTGAAGGGACCATCAATTTTCCAAGAATTATGGGTACACCTTGTTGACAAGCGCCAAACGGTATGAAACCGGTATACAGAGCTTCTTGTCGATCAGCTCAAGACACTTTGAGACAACGGTGTTTTGAATTTATCATTAACACTCAGCCACGCATTGGTGAAGAGTCTTTCACACCTTCCATGGTTACGTTCCTTAAACCTGCTGTCCAATAATTTTGTGTCCATTCCCACAAACTATGTTTAATTCTGTATTTTATGGAGTTATCCTACTAGCATTGTGGGATCACTGGTAAAAAGTAACATAAGAAAATTTATTTCCCTATACTAGTAAAACAACTTCGACTTTTCGAAAAATAAATAGATTTCGTGATTTTTAATCAGAGATCAATCTTAGCTAAACGTCTGTCGAAATTTAAAAGCACCGGACATGTCTCAACCTATCATGGGGCTCCTCACTATTTTTCATCCACGACATTGCACAGAAGATCAAATCTAGGATCTGGAACCTTCCGGTTATCAATGG